CAACCAGATGGATGAAGTGGATCTCTCTGGAGCTATTCTTACTCATAAAAGTCAAAAACAGCAGTGATACTATAAGACTGACCAGGGAATAATGGCAGTCCCACCTGAAAAGAGAGCTGGGGACTTGTTGGAAGGAGCAGTACATCTTGGCTTTGCTCCTCATCCTTTGCTCCAGAGGCAGCTGGAACACCTGACACCAGCATGGATATGGGGAAGTGACTGGTGAGGCAAGTGAGAGTCACAGAGAGAAGGTTGGCTACAATCCGCAGAGATTGAGCCTTCTCCAGGGGAACAAGGCAGGGAAGCGGGAAAAAAATGGTGCTCTAGTACCTGCATAGCACTTTTCTTGGCAGCAGGGGCCTGCCTGCCCATCCTTTCTAGCGAGACTGGTCAAGAGTGGTGAGACCATGCCGCATCTCACAAAAACCGGCTCAGCAGGGAGGATTTCATTACTGGGGTGTTATCCTCACTTTAAACATACCCTGTCTTTCTGCTCCTCTTCAAAGTTCACTTGCAACCAGGTAACTGGAAGGCAGCAATTCAGAATTAAACACAGGCTGGAGGGACCAAGCTGGGAATGAAAGACTTGATCTGTTACCTTGAGTGTTGGGAGAAACACACAATTACAAACCACAGACCGACGCGTGGCCAGACCACCACTGTCACAAATACAGCTGTAGAGTCAATGTACTTGAATTCTCTAAACTTGAAGAGGAAGGTACAAGCACAGCTGGCTCTTAGGTGTGCATCTGAGTGGCTTTGTGCAGGTAGGGAAGGGGAAGGCTGTGGCATGTAGCCCAGGGAAGCAGAAAAGGCATTGTCAGTGAGAGAGGGGGTTCCCCACCCACATTGCACATGCCTGCCGGGCTGTGCCAGGGATGACAACACACCAGCACGATTCTCAGAATGGCATTTTACTTCCTTTGGCAAATACAGGTTTAAGGATTAGGGTTACTGATGAGCAAATGTGAGTCGAAACAGGAGCAACTTCAAAATAACAGAAACACTTGCTCAGCGCATTACAATTAGAGTCAGGAAAACACATCTCCTCCTACATCAGCCCCTGCAGAAACCATCAGCTCTGCAGCACTGATGTACCCACCCTCTACTCTGCTGCGAGTGGAGGACAGCCCACCCTCTTGATGCAAAACAGCATACGATATGGTCAGAGCAGGACCACACTGTGAGTAGGCAAGGAAGCTGAGCTCCTGCCATCACCACAGTGGGTCCATTTCCTCCTGTCTCTGGCTCAGGCCAGAAGAACTCAGGGCCAGTGACCAGGACTCACAGTCAGAAAAGGTGATGGTACATCCCCAAGTCCCAGCTTTGGCATGGCACAAGTCAGGACACCTCCCTCAGTCCCAAGGTAGGGTCAGGGCATAGCTGACTCCCCTTGCCTGCTGGTGTGCCTTGGGATAGCTCATCCCAGCCCACCTTGGGTGATTCCTGATGTCTGCGAGAAGGCCCCAGGAGCTGCCTGCAACGAGATCCATCGCTTCACCCCTGCTCAAGCTCTCCATCCCTGCTGCCCCAGCTCCCTGGGGTCAGGAATGAGACTTGTTAGCTTCACTCTGGCAGGCTGACCCAGGTGGTGTCACCTGGCCCAGGCTGGAGAGGTAGCAAGCTGAAATGAAGAGCCTGGGCTTGACCCAACAGCACCCTGTGCAGACAGCACATGCAAGGCCCACAGGAGCCAATGGGAATCAGCACCAGGGCGCCCAGGCGGAGGGGAATACTCTACCCAGAAAGCGTTGCTTGGAATGAAAAATAAAAAACAAGGACACCTGCTGTGATTACAAACTACTCCTGGTCCATTTGGCAGCAGAAAAACTAGCAACTAATTAGCTGTGCCTTAGCACTGTCATCAATTCAATAATTCAGGAGGAGCAGGGAGAGGCGGCTGTGACAGCACACACGGTAGCTGCGGCGAGCTGGTCAAGCACTCAGCCCCAAGAGAAGCCATGTCAAAACAGGCTCATCTCCACGTTGGGGTGGATGAGAGCAGGGGACAGTGAAAAAAACCAAACTCAGCAGAGTACAAGTTGCATCCATGGGGCCAGTCTCAGTTGCCATCACCTCCAAGTGACCTAAGGGCATCGACCTGGATGCGAAGGAGCCTGCAGATAAGGAAATGCCTTTGACAGCGTACAGATGAATTGCCTCTAAGCTCATTGACATTGTCCTCTTCTGCTTTGGTTGCTTTTCACCCTCATATCCTCTTATTCTGATAACGAACAAGGGCTCTTCATGCCTGTCTTCCTGGTAGCTGCTTCAGTCTCCAGATCAACAGGTCTCTGCTCTCTGGCATATTTCTTATTTTATCAGTTTGCATCCACAGAAGACTGTTTTCTACCAATCCCAACCCAAAAGCCAAGACGAGGTAGTGTTCTCCTATAATCTGCAGAGAGGGCTGTGTCGCTATTTTTGTTAAAACCCCATTTTTCACAGCCATTCTTGAGCAGAGATTTTCAGGTCTGAGAGCATTTTGAATTTTTTCCCTTTGAGAAAAACGGACAGATTTTCACCGGAAACCGGTCCCATTAAGCCGGCGCGATAAAGGACTGCCAAAGCACGACTCGAAGAACAGCTAACACTTCAGCATAACGTTTGGCAAATGATTAATTCAGAACATCACCCAGTCGAGTTAGGCCTTCCCAAAACGGGTGACTTATGCAGGGGAGAGTCATTCTGAACACGGGCCGCGAAAGGCGGCCAATTCACGGGGCAAAAAGCCGGGCATTTGGGACCGTTGCC